GGATGGGAGACTGTGATGAAGTGATTCAACACAACCTGCTGCTAAATTCTTTACATTGTTCTTAGTGTCCTGAGACAACGGATGTTGGGACTTGGAGCTATATAAATAAAATGAATTAAGTTAACTGGGTCTGTTGTCTATTAGATAATAGAAGAAAAACATTTCCTTTGGGGAAAATATATTTCATTCTATAAAGGTTTAAACATCTGGTCTTATCTTAACTAGACGTATAACATCTAGTCTACAATCCTTTCATGTTTAACTGTTTTATAAACCTTCATCTTTCATGTTGTTAGTTTTACTGTTTTAGTCATGTTCCATGAAATTGATTTTTGCTATATTTTGTAATAAATGACCATAAAAGACAAAGCTGGTTCCTCATGTGTGAGTACTGTGGTCTGAGATAAGAGTACACTGTTACATCATACGACCTGTCTTCAGTAAATGAGTCTGATTAAAAGCTGAATAAATGTTGGTTAATGACTGACACAACAGGTAAAGTGTAGAGTAATCAGTCTTTGTGTTTCTGTGCTAACGACTCACTACAACAGTACAGATCATGTTTTTAGCAGTGTTACAGTCTGTAAACATGCAGCTGTTTTTATTAGAAACACACCTTCATTAGATCTGGCTGCTACTCGTCTCTGACGTCTCTCAGCTCCATCCATGCACTGCAGAAGACCTGAGCTGTGGATCACAGGCCTGTGTTGAAAACATCTTTAAATAGAGGAGAATAAAAACTGAATTCAGCTTCCTTTGGCTTTGGAAGAGTTCAGTAATCATTGAAGACGCCTTGGCTCTTCATAAAAGCCCACATCACTGAGCTGCAGACATCTGAGWGCAGCTTCAAGCTCAGTCAACAATCAGGATGTGGAGAAAAATAAGAATAAACAGTTTAAACCAAGCTGAGCTTTAAAAAGAGAACATCAGTCATGTGTGACCTGAGGCTCAGTCTGTTCAGGAGACCACTGTATGATCTATGAGGGGCTCTGTTTCCAGCTTCACTGTCTGCTTACTTACCATGAGGGTCTGAGTCATAATCATCATCATCATCATCATTTACCATGAGGGTCTGAGTCATCATCATAATCATCATCATCAACATTATTTACCATGAGGGTCTGAGTCATCATCATCATCATCATAATCATCTTTTACCATGAGGGTCAGGAGTCATCTTTATCATCATGATGTATCATCATCATCATCATCA